CGCCGCGCGCCTTTCCAGGTGATCCCCGCCTGGTGCCTGGGCCGCCCGAGCCGAGCGAGATGCAGAACGACGCCGGAGAGTTCGTGGACCTTTACGTCCCTCGGAAATGGTGAGCGGGGCCGGGAGAGGCCCCGGGGGCTGCTGCGGGCTCGGCAAAAGCGGGTGTTTCTGCAGCAGCCAATGTCTGCGGGAAAGAAACGAGTAAACCCGTTTTCTTCCCGTTTCTCTACTTTTGCATCTTATGGGAACCAGAGGCCAAAGTTGAAGAGGGCGGGGGAGGCAAGATGAGAAGGGAGTGATGTTTGATCTGCTGCCGAATTGTCGCCGTTTGGCGGCAGTGGCAGCTCACAGAGGGGCCCTTCCAGAAGTCAGTGTGCACGTTTGTGTCCCCGGGCTACAGGGTCTCGCAGTGAACCTGCTGAGTGTCTGCTTGTTGCCTTGGTAGCACATCTTAAATACAGCTTTAAGATCATAGTAGATGAACGGTGATGAGTATTTGGTAAATGTGTGTGTGAAAAAAATCACTACAAACTCAGCTGCTTCTGTGCATCTCAGTGGCTTTAAGTCAAATGTTTTTTTGCAGCCTGAGTGTTTTCTGACAGCTGTAATGGCTCCCAGTGAAAAAGGCATAGAAACTTCCTTCTCGTGCATTTTCTTGATGGCTACATTTTTTACACTTAGAAAAGCCAAAATTCTGTGTGTTGTGAAGGCCTGTGCTGCTGTGCACACTGTGTGGGGATGAGCTACACGTGTGAAAAACAAACAAGGAATAGTTGGCAACTTAGCATGATGGCAGCCAATGAAAGTCTCCCCTAAATGTACTTAACTAACTTTCTAAGCACTGAAAACTTAGACTGTTACTGCCCAACCTTCTTGTGCAGCTTTAATTTGCATGTAGATTTTGCTTTAATAGTTTTTTTTCCTAGTCACCATTTCCTTTTGTTTAAACATGTCTTGTTACTTTATTCCCCAGCTCTGCCAGCAACCGAATCATTGGTGCTAAGGATCATGCTTCTATTCAGATCAACATTTCTGAGGTAAGTTGCAAAACAAGCCACACTGTTAAAGCTTCTGACAGAAGTGAAGAGCTGTAACAGCTTGTCACAGACCTACACATCATTCCCTAGAAACTGTAAATGCAGAGCCTGGGGGCTTTCAAACAACCATTTTCCTGAGGTGTGCTGGTTGGTTGTTGTCACTGGATATTGTACATCTGGTTTTCTTCCTGTAACACGTGGAAATTTTTTCTGGAATTTCATCTTCTCAAGGCAGCATTATTGCAAGTCCCTCCAAGCTTAACAAATATGCTGAGAAAACCACAGTGAACCTTGACTCCTGCAGGATCCCAGTTAAGGCACATGGGCTCCAGTTAATTTAAACTCTTTTTAGCATGATTTTTTTTTACCCCCATGTGTGGGCATTTCTCTACCTATGTAGCAAGGCTGTGCCCTTCCCATTTTCACTTCAGTTTTCCTTGATACTCATCTTGAGAAAAGAAACATGGAAAAAAATAACAAAGGCAGTAAAACCCACAAGTAAGCTTTACATTGGACTTTTAGATACTTTATTTTTTTTAATTAGATCTCAGGCATTTTCTTCTAGTTGCCATTTTCCATGGTGTTCTTGTTATGCTGCCAGTTACATTAAATGTTGTAGCTGCACTATGGAATAAACTCTGAATTTGCTCTGAGAATACTCTCTAGTGTCTTTCTAAGTCCAGTATTTGCCTTGGGTTTTTTTGTAGTTTGCAAAAAAATACTTGCAGAATCTTAACAAGTGCTGTAAAGTGTAGAGTTTTTTAAGGATCTGTATGGAGTAACATGCTTGTAATTCCAGGTTGACAAAGTAACAGGCAGAGTAAATGGCCAGTACAAAACCTACGCCATTTGTGGGCCAATCCGTAGAATGGTAAGTGCTTCCCTGAGCTCCACAGTAATTGTGCTTGGGTTTGTGTTGATTAGTCATTTTTTGATGTGTATCTGGCCCTGAAAACACAACGTGCCTTCACATTGGGGTGATAATGTGGGGATCATGAAAGCAGGACTGAAGATGTGTTCAAATTCTCTTGCAAGGATCACTTTTGTGTTTTTTCCCTCAATCCTTTGGTTTGTAGTTTTGTGTGTTTATATATTTTTTAAGAACACAAGTGGATTTTTTTTAAGAATGTACAGAGTTACTAATGTCTGGGTTTTATCTGTTGCTTATTTATTTTGTTAAACATGGTGTGAAGCTTCCTAGAGCTGATCAGAAATCTGCTTACCCAGAAATAGATCTTGGTAATGCAAGTGTGTGTTTTACCAAGTCACAATTTTCTTACCCTAAAGGATTACACATAATTTAACAGCTTGTTTTGAAATCCCTGGTCTGTGCATATAAAACATAGTGTTCTGTGGCAGTGGAGTATGTTTCCTTGCCAGCATGAACTGCTGCAGCTGCATCTCTTTTTGGTATGAACCAGCAGTGATTTGGTCACTTTCTCATTTTTAAGGGGGAATCAGATGACTCCATTCTGCGTCTGGCAAAAAATGATGGAATTGTCTCCAAGTATGTATATTTCTCTTACCCTGTAACTCTTACCAATTCCAGCTTTTTGGATGATAATGTATACACTGTGTTTATAGGATGATTGCACAGTTGGTCAAAAATATTTACTTGAGCTGTCAAAGTGAACAAGTTTGTAACTGTTTCATTTTCTTCTAGGAACTTCTAACTGAAGAAACTCCAGGATGGAACATCTGTTGTAAAAATAAACAGTTCAAACCTATATTGTGTTGTGTCTTCTGTTCAAGTCATAAACATAAGTGGATTTATTATAGCTAGTCTCAAAAGACTTAGAAATTTGTCTTCAGAAGATGTATAGATTCTGATTTTGAATTCTTAAATCAGCTTGTAAAGCAGAGCTAGATTTGAAAATCAAGAACTCCCTCTCATCTGTTCACTATCATCTTTCCTTTCCAGATTTAAGAATTTTGGCTATTTTAGCTCAACTCTTTTTTGGTAGAGGCTGGCAATATTTGTTCTGCCATTAACATTATTTAAGCAAATTGTGAAAATTGGAATTGGTGTGAAACTTACCAGAAATACTTCTTGGCCTGCTAGCAGATTGATTAACTGCAAAAGCTCTCAACAGTGTTTTCCTGTATGAAGTGGAGGAAGGGGCTGCAGTAAGTGCGAGGTCAGAAGCAGCTGCCAGCACTAAGATCTGGGAATGAGGAAGGGGAAGGATGTTCAGAGAAGAGCAGACACTACAGACTTGGGTGTCTTAGTGACTAGTTAAAATACTAGGCACCCCTTCTGGGAAAAGAGATCTCTGATGTCTTTGGCTCTCAACTCCACAAGGATATGACAGGATGCTGTGGTTTCAGTTCCACAGGGGCTGTGGTGGTTTCATGTCTCTCAGACTTGTGTCTTGCAGGAGGATCCAAGAGGCTGTGCCTTTCAAGGGCAGCCTTAGTGTTGCTGGATTTTGTTTGCACCCAGCAGGTTTTTTTGTCATTGGTGCTTATCACTGAAATAGAATGTCATGGATGGTTTTGGTAGGTTTGAAATACGCTCATGTGACGTATTATTGAAAACTCCAGTTGTCAGCTGCATGTCACCTATTCCATAATATCTACAGCTCTACATGGGCTGCCCTTCAGATGGTGTGTTCTGACCTGTGTTCTCAAGGATGACTGAGGTTGTAGCCAGGTTACATCATGTTTGCTCCCGTGTGATCATTGCTAGGACAGTGTTTGCAGTTGTCCTTACATCTCTGCACAGCTCCTCTCTCAAGTGGTAGAAGCTGTCCTGGTGATGCTTTCCTGTTTATGCTGTAAGCTGTCCCCATGTAGAGCTCTTTCCACGTGGCTTATTTCTGACTTGTTTGCTGTGGCTGTGGGAAACCACAGTCTCAGGATTCTCTCAGGAGAGCCTGAAGCAGGGATGCTATCACCTCTGAACTAGGAAGGAGAATGGCTGAACTAGCCAAGTGTAGTGTCCTTCTCATTACCTGAATTTTTGTTACTTCTCAGACATGTCAAAATGCAGCTTATTTCATGGGAAGATCCTGTCACATGAGAGATACATTTTAAATACCACAAGCTGAAAAAAAAATAACCCACATTTTATTTGTGAGCTGTTCTGACATCTAAGTCAACCATGAACACTGTGCTAAAAAAAAAGGGGGGAGGGGGGATGTGTGACTGTTGGTTGTGATTCTCCTGGAAATAATTCATTTTTCCAGCAGATAAATCTCTGAAAACACTTTCTGGAAAGACAAATACAGACTCCAAACTGGAGAGATTTTTGCTTGGCTTATGTCCAATGCTCATTACTTTCCTTTGTACACAGTAAAAGGAGGTAAATTCTAATTGGACTTGATGTTTCTTTCTGCCATATCTTAAGTTAGCTGCTTCTGCCCTGGTATTAAGGGAGAATTTTAAATAAAATCAGTAACTGTTTACTGCTGATAAATGCCTAGTTTACCAGAGAGTTTAAATACTGTTGACTTACTTCTAATCCCCTGGGACTCTGTTCATCCATGTGGATTTCAGTGGAATTCCTCCATAAGCCAAAGTGAACTGACAGCTTAAAAGTTCAAGATGAGCTTGAGGTCTCTCAGATGTCTTTTTCAGCAATCAAACTCCATTAGCAGACAGCTACACCAAGTTCACACTGCTGTTTTGATTAAGTATTTAAGCATGATAATGTAATTTAAAACTTTCTTTGCTTTGTAATACTGATTGCCGTTTGTTCTTCTGAATTTTAAAGAATTCAGTCAAATTAGTTTTTCATTGATTTCTTGTCAAAGTAAGCTTATGAAATGTTATGGTGCCATATCTTAAAACCAGGTTCAGCTGGAAATGGATTAGTGCTGTGCCAAAGGCTTCCTGAAGCTCACGTGCCTGGGCACCACATGAGGTCTTAGAAAAACCTCTGCAACATCCTAACAAGAGAGGACACGTGTCCCTTTAAAAATCAATTTTGAGTTGCATTTTCTAGTATTGTGATGTAAAAACGTTCTTTGTTTTCCTGGGACAGGAATAGTTCAGATCTTGTAGAGCCATGAAAGGGAATGGACTGTACTTGTACTGTACAAGATGGACAGAGTTGTCCTTACATGGTTACATTGCACCAAGTTGTGAAATTCTTTTCTGTTACTTACGAGGACTTGGCAGTGGCATCCTAAAGACATCTGACCTAACTGGGGCTATTTTAGTGTCTTTGGCTACAATTTTTCTGCTCAGATGAGTTTATCTACTCCTTAAAACACCTTGTTTTTTGTAGGAGCATGTTGATATTTCATACTGATTCTTCTTTTAATGAATTCTGTCATTCTTTTAATGAACTACATGGTGCTGAAAAGCTGCTTTAGTCAGTCTCAGCTGTGTGCTGTGATCAGAGGGCCAGGGTTAGGAGGGCACTGAATCTTCAGTTGCTGTGGGCACAGATTTAGCAGCTTTGATAACATCAGCCTTGCTTGCAAGATGCCAGACAGGCAAAACTCTGCCAAGGCTGGGAGAAGACAAGAGGCAACATGCTTCCCTGATATCACTTGTGCTTCTCTGCAGAAAGGAGCACTGTGACTCAAAAGAGGAATAAAAAAGGCCATGAATGTCTTTTGCCTTCACATGTACCTGTTACTGTTGCTCTCTACCTCCTGGCTCAAGCTTCCAAGGAATGTGTGAGCAGAAGCTGTCCCACAAGTGCTCCATACAGAAAGGAACCTGGGGCAGCTTGTGAGGGATATAATTTATTTTCCAAAAGTCTGCAGTGATGCTGGAGTCTGCTGAAAGCCTACCTAGAGGTCTGAGCTAAGCTGTAACACTAGATTTGGCAGCAATTTTGTTTTTCAGCTGGATGTTAGGAAGAGCTGTCTATTTCCATCTCCTGTTTGGTTCAGTTGCTGTCTATCACTCTTAGTGATACACAGAGATTAAAAACACCTCTACTGAAAATATTACTTTGAACAGGTTATAAGGGAGGTTTTGATTTTAATTAATTCATTAATGACTCTTTGTGCTGAGGCATCCCAGGGGATGCAGCTTCCCCATATGTATGTTAGACTAATCAGCCATGGAAAAAACATAGAATACTGATTAGGCATTTTTTTCCTGCTGGGAACTACACTAATATTTGGTATCTGACAGAAGTGCCTCTTGGCTAAATCCTCAGTAAGAGCTGCAGAAGAATTAAGAAGGTCAATGTGAGGTTTTTTGTGGATTTTTAAAATGTATTATGATGAAAAGGTGTTATTTTAACCTCTATTCTCAGATAGGTGACAGCAAGTAAAACAAACGTGGCCAGGCTGAACCAGGCATATTGTTTTGCAGCGAACACACCCGAGCTTCAGTCTGCTAACACATCCTGTTCTGTGGTGTCTTTTGACTGGCCTGGGCTGCAGAGAAGCAGGTACGTGCCTCTTGTGCTGAGGGCTGGGGACCCTCTGTCCTGGGGTGGGTTGACCGTGGCCAGGTGCCCACCCAGCCCTGCCCTTCCTCCCCCTCCTCGACAGGACAGAAAACAAGATGGAAAAGCTCACGGGTGAAGGCAGAGAGACCCCTTATTAATTACCATCATCTCGTTTCCCCTCACAGACCCTCTCACTCCTCACAGACCCCCCTGCCCGGGCACCTGCACCTGGCAGGACTCTCATCTCCACCAAAAGGTAATTAAAATAAAAACCTCTGGTGCTACAAGTGCCCCAGTTTTCTGTTGGGCTTCTCCTGGGGCAGATTTCCACCAGCTTGGGGTTTGCTTCATGGAATCACAGAACGGTTTGGGTCAAAAGGGGCCTTACAGATCACTCCAACCCCCCTGCGTGGGCAGGGACTCCTCCAACTAGATCGGGTTGCTCAAAATCCTGTCCAATCTGCCCTTGGACACTTCCAGAGATGGGACAGCCACAGTTTCTCTGGGCAGCCTTGGCCAGTGTCTCACCACCCTCTAACATTTGTCCATGTGTAGCCTCTGGGAAAGAGATGTGGCTCTGACAGTGAGGTATGGCCTGAGGTATTCTGACAGGATTAATATGCAGATCTTGGCAGCTCCAGAGCTGTAGGTATATTATCTGTTAACCCAGGGCAGATGTTCTTCTGAGAGGATGGAGGAGGATCCTTGTGCAAGGAGCTCAGGCTTGCTGGCTGGCCATGGGGAATTATTGCAGGGCTGGAAGGAAAAGTCGCACTTTGCATTTTGATGAGCTGATTGTAAACCATGCACTAGGACACCCCACATCCATAGAAATTAAGCTGTTGTTTAGCTGGCTTTAAACACAATAATCTTTCCACTGTGTTCATAGGGCATCGAAGTTCTGAGAAGAACCTTGATCCACCTCTTGATGCATACCCAAAGGGAATGAAGCCACTGGGACCCTGACGTGAAGTTACTCATACTGTGACTCACCCTCATGAGCAGCAGTGCCTGTCAGGCAAGTGAAGTTGAGCAAAAATGCTGAGATACTGTGTTCTTTATGTCACAAAGCAGCTTTTTCACCAAGTGTTTAGCACAACACTGTATGGATCGCTTATTGAGCTGGGAAATGTGATCATTCATGCTCTAGGCAGTGTTTCAAATGTCTGAGGCTGAATAAAAATAGCACTTCAAAATAAATTGGGTAGTGCACTAGGGAGGTGGCAGAGATCATTACTTGCAGTTTGTCCCTGGTTCATTCAGTTCTTTCCTCTACAAGAGCTAGTAAAGCTGGGTGTTTAATTCTCCCTTTGACTAGTCTGAGACTAAAAGAAAGGCATTTACACGCCTGATTTCTGTTCTGGCCAGTGGAGCCATGCTCACAGAGAACTCCCTCTGCATTCCTGGGAAAATGGGGTCATTTGTGCTGCATCACTCAGCCCAGTGCACGAGCTGAGTCTGGGACTGTCCAGCCCACAAGCCAGCTGTGCTGAGGAAACAACGACCTTAAAAAGTCAGCTCTACAGTTAAACTCAGCATCTGCTGATGGGTCACTTTTGCTGCTGTCTGCTCTCAAGTGCCTGGAACCATCACCCCAGAGTTCAGTGTGTTAGCTGGTAATCTCGAACTTGGAAGAGTTTCCAGGCAGGCTGAACAAAATCTGAGGATCTAAAACTGCCTGTACCCAAAAGTAAGTAAATCAAAGGAAGCTAATCCCAGATGGTGCTGATTAAAACCTGAACTACAAAAGCCAGATTAAGGAAGCAGCTTTCAGGCTGCAAAGTATATTACCTGAGACAGGGCTTGATCATTGCAGCACAGAGCTCATATTTCTGGAGACTCAGCACATCCTGGGGCAGCACTGCCTTGGAGAGCCTGCATCCTGCAGAAGACAGCAGTGCCAAGCTTTGGTTCCTTTGATCAAAGAGGGAATCAATGGCTCTGCTGTCACATTCTTGCCAAAGTGTGAGCACGTTTGGTACAGACCCTTTCAGGGTAAAGGGAGGCAATTTTATTAGGCTTTTCTGACCTCTTCCCAAATACTGCACTCGACCAGGGAACAGGAGGCTTTACAGGAGTGGGACAGGTGGCAGTGTCCCTACCTGCCAGTGACACTACAGCCACTGTTCACTTCTGATCTTGGCTACACAGTAGTTGATACCAGACCTGGTTTGATCTTAAGGCCCCAGATGCAGATTCTTTTATATTCGTAAATGTATTGCCAGGTATCTCTGTGTGTTTTCTTTTTGAAGCTGGTTTGAGACTATCTGGACAGCAGAGTTAGTCCTTGCCTCAGTTGCAGCAGTTGCAGCCAGTGCTGACTCACTCCTGTAAGTTTTAATTCCCCAAAATATTTAAATATTCAGGAAAGTCTCATAGACACATGTGTAACTGCTTTCCATGTGGTTATGTAAAAATATCAAGCTATGTTACTTCATCAGATATTTTATAGCTCATGTCTGTTCTGTTACTCAACACTCATTGATCTCAGTGCTTTTTTTTCTTAAAAAAAAAAAAAAGGAAAGAAAGAAAAAAAAAAAGAGAGAGAGAAAGAGGGGAAAAAAAGGGAGAAAAAGTGATATTTGTTTCTGCTGAGCAGAGAGCTGTTCCTGGCAGGCTTCCCATGAAGTGTGCATCACAGGCATTCAGGAGAACTAGAGCACTAAGGCCAAGACTCAGGAGACCTGGTTTCTGCTTCTGATAGTGACACTTGTTTTGAGCAAGGCCTGTTAATTTACCTGTATCTAAAATTAATGTAATAAAAAAATAGGAAGCTTGGAATTGATTTGCAGAGTGCTCAGAAAATGCAATCATGGAGTGGCACAGTTCTCCAAGTAACTGTAATACAAGGAATATATACTTTAAAGAAGATCTGCAGTAAACTCAGTAGAGTTGAGCCAGAGCCAGGTGTCCTAATTTAGTATTTTAACCCCTGATTTTTCTCTCTATTCAGCAGGGAAATTTTACACCATCAATTTTCTGCACACACAAGTAAAATAATACAGGTATCTTTTTTTCTCTTTCTGAATCCAGTACCATGTATGGGGGTAGGACCATCTGAGTATTTTTTCTTCCTTTAGGGGATGGATGA